GTAAGTAAGATAGTTAATGTGTGGGTGTATTGAGATTGGAGATTGGACTATTGGTTTGTAATTTTTGTTGTTGTTGTTTTGTTTTTGATTCTGTGTTTACTTGAGAGTTTTGGTTAGATGCAACTGATCAATAGCAATTTGGTTGTAGCTTTTATACAAGTCATCTTTATGTATGTTTATGTTTTTGAAATGGTGATATGAGTGGTATGATTTTTAGTATTTGTTGAGTGATTTTATGATGTTTGCTTTTCACCTAAGACGTTTCGCTTCGCATACCTACCCAAGTCGAGCGCTGCGATTTGATGGATACTTGTGGCTGTGCACCTGGAGTAGCTGTGTCTTTTTGTTCATTTTATTTTATTGTAACTATATTTAATTAATATTTTGTTTATTAATGGTGAACGGTATTTGGTTTGGTATGTGTAGTAGTTTAAGGTTGATTTGAGTTTGTTGTTGATTTTGTATTTTTATTTGTAATAAACTAATATATTTGGATTTGAGTTGCAAAGTTGCGAATTATGTCTTTCTACCATTACAGTATGCGCCTATCTGGCGTTACTAAGTGTTATAGTGGATACACAGTCCAGTGTTTTTGATTTCCTATTTTCAGAATTTCCTGCGTCATGATACATTGTTTCGTAGTTTGGTAGTTTAATTAAGTGTATGAGTCCCTTTGTTTATTTGTGTATTGTATGTGGGTGTGTGGTGCCTGCTCTATAGTTTTTATCATTTCTATGGTTTTATTTTTTTTTTTTATTACTAGTGTTTTTTAATTTACCAGCTTATGTTGTGGTTGGTGAGAAGTGTTGTTGGTCCATAGTGGAATCTATGTTTTTTCTGATTTATTTTATTGGTAACCTGATTGTTTGATTATAGGTGATTTGGTTTTCATATATGTTGGTGAATATGTTGCAGTATTATTATTTGGCTTTCTATATTGTTATGAAGTTGAAGGTGTGGGGTTGTTTATTTTTTTTTAGTTTGGGTTGATGAATATTAAAATTATAATTATGATGTGCGAATCTATATTAATTTGTCTGATTAATTGTTAATAAAAGGTATGTGTGAGTTTGTATTGGGTGTTTATTATCATTTTTTGTTCTATTTCCATTAAAATCTATGTATTAGACATGGAATAGGATAAATGAAGTGTGGGCAATTATAGTTTATAGGTGGATAAATTAGATGTAATGGACTTAAACCATATTAAGACTAATATAAAGCTCACCTATTGTTACAATCATGTTGAATGTATATTTTACGTCTCAGATTTACTTACTTGCTACTATGCCTGTTTATCATTATCTAACGATCATACTAACTAACAATCGATAGCAGATCATACTAAAAGTATATTTAATGAGTTTATGATTAATTATATAATTTAATTATATTTTACATGTAGCTTTTTTTATATGCTTGGATGATGGAAATGTCTGCGTCCGAATATTAAATATGATTTGTTTGGCAGGTTGCCCTAGATGGGCGCAGCCGAGTTGGTTACAGGTTGTTGTTGTTGTGTTGGTTGGTGATTGTTGTGTGGTGAGGTTTGTGTTGTGTGTTGTGTGTGTGTGTGTGTGTCGTGTGGTGTGTTGTGTGTTGTGTTTGGTTTATGTTTGCGTGGCGGTCGGTGTCCCAGGAATCCATGTTTTGTTTATAGCCAGGGGCCATGCATGCCTGATATTGGGTTGTGTTTTGGTTTTGTTTGTTGTTATTCTTATTTGTGCTGGCACTGGGTCTTTATTTTTGGGTTGGGTGTGTTGATTTGTTGTGGTTATGAGAGGGTTGGTACGTTGGACGTATGATTGTTAGCTTGGTGTGGGTGGTTTTTTTATGGTGTATATGGGCAGCGGTTGTTTGCGATGGTTTTTTTGTGGGGTTGGGTGTCTGAATGAGGGTGGGAGGAGGTATTTTTTACTTAAATTTTCGCGGCCGAATGAATAAATGATTCCCACTCCTCTCCTCTCTCTTCTCTCCCTCGTCATTCTCCTCTACTAATCTCTTCATCTCCTCTCCTCTCTCGCTCTCTCTTCCAAGCAGTGTGGTCCATGTTTACAAAATTGAAAAGCTAAAACCTCCCTTTCCAGAAAATGAATCCAGAGCGCCATCTCAAACACTTTGTGCACTCAGAACACACCACAGAGGATCTGTGTTGGTACATGGTCTACATCGTAGGCCTACCATACTCTTAAAATGTGCCACCGGTGGACAATTAAATAACGCAGAATACAATACAGCTCTTAGCTTTGGGGAAAGCAAACACCATTTTTATTTATAATTGTTATATTTATAATTTAATTTATTTATTAATTTAATCAGAATGTATTTTAGCAACCATGGTTTGGAAGCGTTTTCACTTTAAAATGTTAATCGATACAATTTACCAAAATAAAATAAAATGTAGTCTGTACCCTAATCCAAGTAATTCACAAAATATTGAAAAGTAACTGATTTACTTTCCGTTGCCTTTGGATTACTAAAATATTGACAATAAAACGAAGAGAGAAAAACAAATATTTAATAAAAAGTAATTATGTGTATTTTATAAGACACACAACAATTGTATACTTTAGAAAAACAAGATTATTATCGTGAGAAATTGTTTGTCAATCTGCTCAGTGTATTTTATAAAAGGAAGTAGTCTTTTGTAATCAAGTTACATGTAATTGCCGTTACTCCCGAGCCCTGTTTTAAACATAATCAACCAATGTAGAGGAGTGTTAATGTTGTTTTAAAAGGGTTTTTGCCTAATTAATATAAAATGATATATATTATTTATTATTATTATTATATCATTTATAAAAGCACCTGTTTTTATTTATTATTAGAAGAGGAAGAACATCCATTAAAAAACAATTGTTGGTTTGTTTACATGCAAATTCTCTCTCTGACTGAGGAATAATAAAGACTTTAGATTTTTCTTGTCAAACTAGGAACCGTTTTTTAAAAATATATTCCATAACAATCAACGGAAATCACAGAAAAGTGTGGTATATGGGAATTCTACGAAAAACCCTCAAATAACTGCAGAGCTACATTGTCACTGATACAAATGTTCCAAATGTTTGTGTAGAAACAGACTTTATTTTCAGTTTTGTTTACACTATATAGCTCTATGTATGTGCTGCGAACTGCGGAATACATAAACAAAATGCTGCAAGTGGCTGATGAAGAGCAGATGAAGTGTGTGTGCTCTGTCATCATCGAGTCAATTATTTGCGCGCTCAGACCGGCCCACCGAGCCGCATTCACATTCATGGCCGTGTTTTAAAGCAGCGGGCCCGGGGACGGGCGAGCATGTCTGCATTGTGTGCGACAAAGAAGGGGTCGAGTCAATCCATCAATGTGACGCGTAAATGAGAGGAGAATCCCGAAACCATATGGCCCTGAAACACTCTCCTCTGGCCGCCTTTGTGCGCCGAGACCCGCCGGACTGGAGAACCGCTTGTCTCCGTATTGCGCACTGCTGGAGAGCGGCCCCCGGGGGGAACACACACACACACACTTCAGGGCCTCTTCTTCTGCTCCAGATTGTGTTTCTCACAGAGAAAAATAAAAATACACGCAGGAGGTCAGAAGGCAGCGGATTCTGCACCACAAACCACCAAACACATAATACTGATTCACTGCAACCTCCTCCATAGAGATCATTTATATAAAAATGTGAAAGTCTGAATATTTGAAAATGTGTTTTTATTTTGTCAGTGTTACAATATTAAATTACAGTTTGTACAGTTTATGCGTTCTGTATATTCCAAAGGCACTTAAAGGTTGTACAAAGCATTATAAATATATTAAATCGTTATTTATTACAAGCTATTAGCAACACATTTCCTGTGTGTGATTATCATGATGTATCAAAAAGCTGAGAAGAGTCGGCTCGAGCTTATAAAAGTGATTTGTAGAAGCCTTTTCCATCAATTTCAAAATAAAAGCAAATGAAACATGCAGTGAAATATTTCAGTGATTGTAACCAGAATAAGGGACTGGACTGTGTGTGTGTGAGTGTGCACCTGCATGTTTGCCTCCTTCCTTCTGAGTGTCTCTCTGTCACGTGTCACGCGCTTTCTAGGCGCGCGCATGTTCATCTGCAGAGAGCAGCGGGCCTATGGCAGCTCTCAAATCAAACATTGTGGATAGTTTGATCGCACCGTGTCCGTGCGTAGAAGATGGAATCCTCGTAAAGTTTCTGCGTTATTTGGCATTTCACATGGCTGAGTCTTTAGTCATCCACGTCAATCTCCTCATCTTCGTCCTCCGAGCAGCACTGGCTGCTCAGCCGGTCCGTGTACCACGACGAGGCGGGTGAATGAGGCGACATGTGCGCTCTGCTGGAGTCGAGATTCTCGGCGGTGTCGTGGTGGACCCTGGTGGAGGCCGGGTCGGACTTGGTGTGGCCCGGCGCTGTAACCGGCCCACCGCCCATACCTCCGGCCGCGCACTTCTCCAGCTCGGCCAGCTTTGAGAGCTTCTCAAAGGCCACAGAGCCCGCGGCCTTGGCGGACTCCACGTCCGCTTTCATCTCCTCCAGGTCCCGCTTGAGCTTTGCCCGTCGGTTCTGGAACCAGGTGATGACCTGCGCGTTGGTCAGACCGAGCTGCTGGGCGATCTGGTCCCGGTCCGCCGGGCTCAGGTACTTCTGGTACAGGAAGCGCTTCTCCAGCTCGTAGATCTGGTGGTTGGTAAACGCCGTGCGGGACTTCCGCCGCTTCTTAGGGGTGTTCCTCTGGCCGAACAGCGTCAGACCGTCTCGGCCTAAGAGAGAGGAATAAATGGGTCAGTGAGTGCCAGTTCAACAAACCCTGCAGCAAAGCACGTGCGACCAAAACTCAATTATTAGCCACCAAAAACTCTAGTAAAATACAAGTAGAATAACTGACTAGAATGTTTTCAATCATTCATTCGTTTAATTTATTTTGCAACTCACGACCATGATCACATGGTATGGAGCATAAACAGAATACACAGTAATAACATTCAATTAATATAATCAATTAATTAATTCAACCTATAGTCAGTCTGATCGATTATCAGATATGGCTCTGCCGGAACAGATTTCTTTATTCTTTCCAAAACATAACAATTCTCCCATTTTCCTGCATGATAACTGTTTATTCAAATAAATAAAATGCAATTTGAAGTATGGAATTAAGAGTTCCTTTGCAACAAAAGATAAAACATTCTTGAAATCACCAAACCAGCAGCAGTTTGATTGATAGAGATAGAGATATCTGTTTTTGCAGATGAACCCCAACTATTTAATAGTTACTCTAAAATCCTGTTGGTGTCCTGTATGTGCATAAAACAAGACTGAAAATAAAAATGTGAAAATTGATAGTTAAGTTATTTTAATTTAAAATAACTGTATAATGTTTTGGGCTGTATGTCAATCGATCACAATATTTTAGTAATGCAATAGCCTACTGTTACACATGCCTTTATCTAACGTAAAAGCATAGGCCAACTCTGACTGCACTTTTATGCACGCAAAAAGGTGTAGTTTCTGGATTCACAAATAATAAATAAAAACTTTAAATGAATTACAATCTATTATTATACATATTATTATTATTTATTTTGATTTAAAAAAACAGTTTTCATAAAATAAAATACTACTATTACAACACAAGTACAGATAATGTGCGTTATAATTCCCATAAAACCAAGACAACGAACTGAAGGGAAGCAGTCCATTACCCTCGGCCGCCTGCAGGACGCTGACCTCCAGCCCCTTGAAGGTTTTGCTGGCCAGCTCCTCCAGCGCGCACAGCGGGGAGGTCTGACTGAGCAGCGCTCGGCCGGACAGGCTGTGACCCGCCGAGGGCAGCTTCTCTCCGGGAGAGATGTGGTGTGCCGCCGCGCTCAGGGAGTAGCTCCTTCGCACGGCCGGCTTGCTGAGGATGTCCTCGATGCTGAAAGGCGTCAGCGGCTTGTTGGAGTTGGCTGGCGGCGGGAGCTGATCCAGCGGACTGCGCCTCCGCTCCTCCAGCACCGCTGGGCATTTGGTGTCCTCCTTAGAGGTCATGGTGGCACAGCGGGTCACACCTGACTGTGGTGATTTAGACAAGAGCGATTAAAAGCGGCGACTGGCTGTGGTAAAGTTGCACACACAGAGAGAGCAGAGGCGGTGGAGGTAGTCCGCAGCTCGGATCACAGGTGTCTCTCCAGCTGCATGTTGGCCGCTCAGCTGCGAACTGCAGGGACACTTCTGACTTCCAGTCCCACCACCACGTCTCCGAGACACTTATCCAGGGTGACGCACAACGAGGCACGAGACAAACCCATCCGGTGGACGGTAATGCAACAAAAGGAGCAGCGATTGACCACCAGTAACAAGTTATTGCTGACTGGAAGGCAATCAATTACTCTCTCTCTCTCTCTCTCTCTCTCTCTCTCTCAGAGTGTGTGATGCAGTCAGATACCGGGGAGCGGTAATTAGAGGGTACGGCGGAGAGGAGGAGTCCAATTAGAAAGAGCAGCCCCACTTAACACTTTCTCTCTAAAATTAGATCATTTGTCACAAAAACAAGCAAATGTTTCTCTCAGCGTGATATTATCCTCATTTGCATACGCGGCCTAATTGGCACCGCGCGCTGATCACCGGGCGAGCTTGTGCCAATTTGGATGAACCCGCTCTGCGTCAATCTTCAGGCCAATTACACTCAGGAACACAAATGATAAACTCCCATAAGCCGAAAACAATCACCTTCAAATCAGAGAGCGCACTTTAGAGAGAGAGAGGGAGCCATATATCAGCATGATAACACTTGAGAGAGACAGGCAGAGTGACAGAGGAGGGCATCACCCTGGCCTGAGCACACCTCCCCCCTCCCTCCCTCCCTCTTCGCCTCTAAAACCATGTTATAACTCAGCAGCAAAGAGCCGGGCTCCCCTGGAGCTCAGCTCACCACCGACGGTGCAGAGAGGGCCGCTGTCGACGCAAATATTAGGGGACATCTGAAATTACTTGCAACATTCATATTCTCACTTTATAACTATAAACACTATAATGCAAACATGAGTTGTTGTTTTTTTTTTGAGTGGCTTATCTTAAAAATCCTTTCTAATTAAAATACTCTACCCTCGTTATGAAGCAAAGAAACATTGTTTGTTTTTTGAGAAATTCCATGAGTTTATTACTTTATTGATCCACTGTAGGGGAAAATAAAATATGTCGTGAAAACTAATGTCAGTCAATGTATGTTTGGTGGTTTTAAAATATAAACTTATCTAAATAAACCTTTGATTTCTCACATTTTTAAATGTGAAAATTAAAAAAAAAGTAAAAGTGTTTTAAACCTTGTTTTTAAGGGAAGTCACTACAGACACAATCATTGCTTTTTCAGGCACTGGTCAATTTTGAGAGTTTGGCTTCCATTTTGCTTCCAAAACATGGTTTCTTGAAGACTAGTGGATAGAAAATACCTAAACACATTTACGTGTTTAGCTGCAGATTTCTCCTTAAGTTAGAATCAGAATCAGAATTGTTTATTGCCAGGTAGGTTTTTACACCTAGAGGAATGTGACTTGTGAAAAAATACTAATTCACATATACATATGCAAATCGTTATCATTATATAATGCCTCATTTACATATTTAAACATATTGTTTATATATATATATAATTGTTTTACTGTAAGTAATCAACTGGAGAAGTTCCATGGTGATATCATCATATAAAAAGAGATATCTAAAATTCCCCCTGTAAAAACCTTTGACTCTAACTAACCTTTTGAACTTGGCTTTATCCAGTGGTCAGATTTCTGTTCTGGACTTGTATGCAAATCAGATCATTTTTAATTAGAGAATGCCTCATTTACATATATATATATATATATATATATATATATTACATACATATTACATACAACTAATGCTTCATGCATCAGTATTAAATAAAGAGAACTGCTAAAATGAAATATGTTTAAACTTTTTAAAGTATTTGTGATTGAAATCAAGGAATATCTGATAAAACAAGTAAGACTAAGCATTTCATACCAGCTTTTGATATAGATGTACTGAGGTCTGACAACCAGTCTGAAGAACGCTGTATTCTCCACTAGAATTGTATTCAGACCTTTAGTTTAGGAAATAAAACCAGATATTTGGGGGAGGGGGTTGTCTTTGGGGGAACATGGACTCACAGTGTGGAAACAGATGCAGAGGCCTGGCAGCAGACAGACAGTTACACACTATACTGCCTCACCCGATACAGGACAAACATCTGCTACAGCTATTTACTACAAGTAGGCTACTGCTAATAATATAATATCAGTATTAATATTGCTAAACCAGTATTGGGTTGTAAGTGATTACATGTTATTGGGATTAGGTCATTACAAAAAATAAGTAACTATAATCAGACCAACCTGATTGGTTGACAAGTCAGGAACACAGCCTCTGATTGGTTGAGAGACTCAAGCCAAGACATCACGGGATTGGCAGTTGGCAGCTAACAGCAATGCTAACAACAACAATGGTTTTCAACAGGGAAAAATTTATAAATACTTACAGAAAACATTGGGTGTAATTTGATTGAACCAACTGTAAATGTTCAGTATGCAAAATGAATTGTATTTGTGATGAAAATGTTTTGAGATGTTTCAATAAAAAATTATATTTGTTGAACTCAAATATTTGTGTGTCAATTAGTTTAGTATAGTGTATATATTAGTATATGATGCAATATTTCCAATGATTGATTTTGAAAAAAGATTTTTAAGTATTCTAATTTTTGTAATCCAATGGATTATGTCACTAATTACATGTAATTTATATTCAGTAACTCACTACAATTCAAAGTAATCTGACCCAACACTGGGAAAAAACCCTCGTACTGACTAGGTCCTCTGCTCATGGTTTTCCTCTGAAGGTTGAGTTTACAGCTTTTTTTTTCCAAGTACGAACTACGGAAATATTATACTACTAAATTGGGAAATAGGAATAATAATAGGAAATAACTAATAAAAGACCTTGTTCACCAAAATAATTAAAACATTATTTCCCACTTCCCCCTATGCTTTTTTTTTTTACATGGAAACATGAACATCTTAAACTGTGTGAACAGATAGATAGATAGAGATAGATAGATAGATAGATAGATAGATATAGATAGATAGACTAGATAGATAGACAGATAGATAGATAGATAAATCCATTAGTTGCCCCATAGCTAAACATTTAGTAGCAGGCCATAAAAAAGATGGATGAGTGATTATAGGAGTTTAGGGAGGCCATCTGCAGTCACAGCCTTTTGGAGCTCTGACAAAGTCCTCGGACAGTTTTATTTCGTAATTTACTCCTGCTTTGGTCATGCTGTGACATTTGATTATACGCCTTGTCTTAGATCTTTTCGGAGCGGGCCTCCTGCCTGCACCCTCGCCCGTTTCATTCTCCATCAGTGAGCTCAACATCCGTGCTGATGGATGTGATGTCTTCATCTGATACCCGCTCCCAAATGGAGAAACATTCACTTTTCCACGTAGGTTTTAATTTCATCTTTGGGAAGTGTGCTCTATAAAGTGCCGACCCGGGGCCCCTAGCTGCTCTGTTGTAAATATGGACCCCTGTGGCTGCACAGGCCCCCACTGACACTGCAAACATTAAAGAGCTGCACAAATCTATAAAAAGAGATGGGATTAGTTTCCCCATGTTTGTGACTGTCTCTCTTCAACTGTTAACTACAATAATCAGTGCTGGAAACACAGAAGATGTTCCAACAGGAAGAGATTTAGCTGAAGTTCAAACTTCAAAACTCCAAAGTTCTCCATCACCCAGCTTCCTTTTAAAGAAACCGTATATGATTCTGTTGATTCTGTTAGGAAGGTAAATAAAAACATGCTCAATGTGCAATTATTATTGGACATAATAATAATAATAGTAATACCTGCAGGAAAGTACTAAAGTGCAACCCCTCCCACAGACTGGACTTGCATATTTAATGGTGAAAAATACTGAAATTACCATTTTATTACACAAAATAAAGAAATATTCCATGTTTTGTACGTGATATATATTCCTTTTGTTTGCCAAAAAGTCAGACAAAGAAAATGTGTTATTGTACAAAGGGGTGTTAAACCATAGTCTAAATCCTAACAACATATCTTAATAAAAGAATTAATCTAACATACCTTAAACGTCTAAAACATTTAGTCACACATTCCCATGAATTAAACCCAACTCAAAAACGAATTGTTGAAGTCATAACATTTTGAGTGTGCTTAGATTTGTGCAGTATTTTAAGTATTGGTGACATAGTTCCAGTTGGTTCCATTACCTCATTGTCTTTAATTTGACCTTATATCATTACAAAAATGTAAGCCCCAAAGCCCCCAGAATAATTGGCTACCATTTTGATAATCGATT